AAATATATTGCAATCTAAGCACTCCTTGGTGAGGGTCATTATGCGGCTTTTACTGAGACCATACGTCAACATATTTTTACCATGTAACTCTAGCATCTCAGATAAAGCTTGCAAGGCTTTAAGAAACATCATTACTTATAATAACGGGCTAAGGATGTTTACGTGAACTTTGTGTGTGTGTGTGTGTGTCTGTGAGTGTGTCTGTTACGAAATTCGTAGAGCATGTTCCAGCCTACCTCCTGGGCTCAAATTTTGCACAGCGCATGCTACCCGCATGAAAGTCCCACACGCAAAAGCACGAGCAGCTTCGTTGAGTGGATCCTTCGGAAACTGCGCGTCAAACGGATCCACTTTGCATTTGGGCCGCATATTTGGGTCCATAATTCCACTTTTTGCAAAGCAGTGGATGTTTATGCCAAGTAAAAGTGCAAATCATGAACTTAGATCCAAAAAAGTTCTCAAAAGTCCATTACTTTAATAAGACGGCGCCAAAAAGTATTGGTTGTGTAAATGGTCAATTTGCCAAGGTTTTACCAGACCATTTGACAAGATTTTTGCACAAAGATGTAACTCGCGGTGACTGCTATTCTTACTACAACTGTCAAGACCATGGAAAAGTCAAGAACCTTTAGAAATTTGCGTTTGTTCTCCTGCAAAAAGTCTCATCTACACAAAATCACCGATTTCACATAAAAAAGCTTTCGAAATGAGTAGTTGTTTACATTTTGTTCGTGATAGTCGGTATTGCTCGGTGAGTTCCAATGCCATCATTATGCGAGAATGAGTAGGGCCTAGATAGTAGAGCCAGTGCGAGCCTCTGCGAAGCAGAGGTGACGCACTGGTTAGTATATAATGACACAACATCGAATGACTCAATTGCGCAATCGGAGGTGAACTTTGTTTGACGTAAGCGCTCAAGGAAGTGATTAGTATTGCTCAAGTGGGCGGGGATCTTGTTCAGGAGCTGGCTGATGATTTTGTTAAGGAACCACGATATGCGATCAGTTGGCCCGTTCACGCAACTGACGATGGGCCGTATTTTGTATGACTCAGCGGAAGCGGAGCGCATTTCGGATCTA